TCATATCACACTCATCATATCACACTCACCATATCACACTCATCATATCACACTCATCATATCACACTCATCATATCACACTCATCATATCACACTCATCATATCACACTCATCATATCACACTCATCATATCACATCACACTCATCATATCACACTCATCATATCACACTCATCATATCACACTCATCATATCACACTCTTCATATCACACTCATCATATCACACTCATCATATCACACTCATCATATCACACTCTTTATATCACACTCATCATATCACACTCATCATATCACACTCATCATATCACACTCATCATATCAAATTCTTTATATCACACTCATCATATCACACTCATCATATCACGCAACATTTGGTTTTGCTAGCTATCGTCACAGCATCCATTTGCTAATTAAATAGAGAAGAAATAATTGCTAATTACCTCCTACAAGGTTCGAGTTCGCATACAATGCCGGAATGACGACGGGCCGTTACGTAAGGCACTCCTGCACTATCTCGTAAGCCCCTTACGAGATAGTGCAGGAGTGCCTTACGTAACGGCCGATGTCTTTCCTTGATAAACCGGTTATATGTAGATTTTCGCGTAGAAGTCTGGGTGGCCGTCGTCAGAAACAGGTTATTCGTAGTATTCGTTAGTAGTCGTAATTTTTCTAGTCGTAATCATTATTNAGCGGCGTGCGTTGGCGAACTGCTGCATCCTGTTTCATACGAAACTCGGATTTTATATTACTTTAATTAATTAATATTGACAAAAGCCCAACTGATAAGAAGGTGGTGGTAGGCGGGGTGGTACCGTGAACGAAACATTAACACACGCGAAATATGAAACATGGAGACATCGGTAGCACCCGGTAGTGCTGCTTATCTTCGTTGCTAGTGAACTATCCATTACTTTGGATGCGTCATTCATGAAATTTTACAATTTGGTGAAGGAAGAAGTCCATGTACATATCATATCAAACATCAAATCACGTCATATATTTGTTATAGGTGCGCTCCTCTATTAAATGGAACTCGTTAACATAATACAACTTAATAACATCGTTACTGTGACATTGAATTGTGGCCCGCNGGGGGCCTTTTTTACGTCCCGGGGTGCGGTTGAGATTGGGGGACGGGCAGTTGAATGAGACCTGCATGTATCCGTGCCCTGGTTGTGCTTGCGCTCTTTAAGACAATTATCTGTGTCCGTGCGTGCGTGCGTTCGTGCGTGCGTTCGTGCGTGCGTGTGAGTGTGTGAATTTCCGCGTCATGCGACAAACTGCGTGTAGTCTGATCCCCTGATCTTATATGAACTTGTGCTCGATGATCAAATGATTGCGTATAGTACGAATGCAAATGAAATCTCGGACATCGTCTGCAATTCCAGTTGTGTGTGAAAAATCCTCACGTGACCGTGACCATTGCAACCCGCAGAAGTTGCGCGAGTTTGGAATCGCGTCCATGTTGGAATGCATGACAGAATGCCAGCTCCCCGGGGGGAGGGGTTGCAGTCGAACTGTGATCGCTTTTGCCATAATGTATCGTGGTCGTACATGCTCCCTGAATATTATAGCACCCCCATCGATGGTGATCCTCGCGAAGTAATCTTAAATGGAATTTATTTATTGATCCCATTATGATCGTGATTGATTGATTGATAATCGTGTGTGCATGCGCTAGTAGGTTGTTGAAGTATCGCTCTCGGTCGGCTGTGCGCTGACTTCCGGCGCGCGCTCGGTCTGCTCGTTCGTAATTCTATTTAAAAGATATTCTTTTAAAACTTTTGTGCAACTGTCGTCGTCGTAAAGTGTCAGTAAATGCCACGTGTTACCATAGCAACGGTGTTTTCTTGTTATTATTATTTGGGGGTGTTTTTCGGTGTGTCACCCACGTCACCATAGCAACGCCGTAGCAGCACCATAGCAACGGCGTCCGTTGGCGAACAGCTGCATCCTGTTTCATACGAAACTCGGATTTTATATTACTTTAATTAATTAATATTGACAAAAGCCCAATTAACTGATAAGAAGGTGGTGGTAGGCGGGGTGGTACCGTGAACGAAACATTAACACATGCGAAATATGAAACATGGAGACATCGGTAGCACCCGGTAGTGCTGCTTATCTTCGTTGCTAGTGAACTATCCATTACTTTGGATGCGTCAATCATGAAATTTTACAATTTGGTGAAGGAAGAAGCCCATGTACATATCATATCAAACATCAAATCACGTCATATATTTGTTATAGGTGCGCTCCTCTATTAAATGGAACTCGTTAACATAATACAACATCGTTACTGTGACATTGAATTGTGGCCCGTGCGTGTGCATGTGCTGTTGGTTTCTACTGTACGGGGGTGGGCGTGTCTCACATCGCTCCTAGGCTATTGCCCGCGTTATTGCGGTTGGTGTCAGGAAAAGATATATTCCAAACATGTCTCGGGGAGTACACGAATAGAGATCAACCTGTTCAACCTTTTTTTTAGAAAATAGCTCAA